CAAAACAAAAAACAATTTATTTGTTTGGATTTTTATAAAGATATGAAATATCTTTTTTTATTTTTAACAAATAATCAATTATTCCCAAATTATAATGTAACAGATTTCAACTGATCAATACCAAAAACAAAGAGTTATTGGAAACCTTATTATCCGTTTAAAAACGAATCGAGCCAAAAGGGTCCAAATGGAACGTCCCCATACACTTCCCGTCGCCCTTAGCAACCGCTGTGTGTGCACGTGACTAGTTTGTTTTCATGCGTCACTTCCTGCGCGGCAGAGCCTGAAACAGCTAAAAAGTTAGCAGCTAGTGACAGATAGCTCAGCTTGTTTGATATTGTGACCATCCTGTTAGCTATATAAGCTGGGAAAACAACCGAAGTGTTTTGATATCACATATTTAATGCTGTTTTCTTCGATGGCTGTTTAGCCCCGGTAGCTGGTAGCAACAGTTTGTTTAGCAAAGCTAAACGCTTGGTCCTGCCTTTTTTTTCTTCCTTTTTTCAATGGATCACTTATTTACAGGTAACCGCATGCTAAGGTGAGGCAAAATACTGTAGAAATCCTTCACTATGTCCAAGCAGCTGACTGCAGAGCAGCAGCGGAAGATTGAGGAGAACCGACGGAAGGCTTTAGAGCGAAGAGCCCAAAGACAGCAGCCTCCAGCGGGGGTTAATGGGGCTCCACTGCAGGCAGATTTATCAAATCAGAGAGAAAATTACAGAAACCCAAATTTCTCTCTACCAACAAGGGTTGGTCCATCCTCTAAAATAGAATCTCAGATAAGCAGTAACCAGACCCATCTACCTATCAGCTGTCAAATTAACCAAAACACTCTGAATAATCCACCCAGACAGGTGAGCAGCTTGCTTAAAGATCTAATCTACAATATGATTTTTTTCCCCCTCATCAATTAATAACTTGCATATTTAGATCAATGGCCCCGCTTCTTGGACAAGTCAGCAATTGAACAGCCCTGGATCAACTGCTGGAGGAAGTGTTGGTATCAAGCCAGTTCAGGGCATCTCTGTCACATCTGGGAGCACATCTGCCTCCTTCTACAAGTCATCCAGCAAACCTGGAGTCCAGGTCTCTACAGCACAGCCTCCTTCAAGCTCCACCTTATCGGCTCCTTTACCTGCCAAAAAGGCTGCCATCTCTGTGAGGGGGAAATGTGTGCCTCATGCAGAGAATCGTTTCAAGGTGGAAGTAGGATACAATGCAGAGCTTATTGCTGTTTTTAAGTCCATCCCTTCAAAGACCTATGGTATGTATCTGGCATTGTACCCACCCATATACTTATCACCTTAGATAGAGACCATGAAACTTATTTTCTGTTTATATCATGGGTTAATAATATTCACCAAGTCTGGATTAGTGTGGAAAAAAAATTAAAATAAAGGGGGAAAACAATCTATCTCTCTCTCTCTCTCTCTCTCTACACACACACACACACACACACACATATATATATATATATATATATATATATATATATATATATATATTATCTAAAGGTTTTATCCGTCCTTAACTCATACATTGATCCATCAGTCTGATGTATGAATATAATTTAATAGTAAAACCTTTATCATACCACAGTGGAGTACTTTGGGTGTACCAGAGGAGAACTGAGTAGACAGGCAAAGCTTCCAGGTAAACACAAGGCTAAATATAAGAACAAAGGTTTAAAAGAGAAAATCTTTTTACAGGGTTAAAAAAAAAAAAAACAACAACAGAAAACAGTGGTTGTCGATTTTATCTCAAGCCAACTTTCTTTGTTGTTTGCCTACCTGATGAAGAAAATATATTAATGTTTAACAGATGGATAATCAGTCTATTTCAGGACTTGGATCTAAATAGTTTTGTACTGATGGAGTATTTTTCCTTTTTCTTAGACCCTGCCACAAAAACATGGAGCTTCAGTCTGGATGACTATACACAGCTAAGTAAGAGCACAAGTACAAAAATAATATAAGTTCCTTCAAGTAAACTTAAAGGTTAAAAGAACAGTTTGTGCCTTTTTGACGTCCTGTTGCAGTGGAGGAGGTAGCTGGCATTCCCTCCGTGTCTCTCAGACCTCTGGAGGGAATCGCAGCTTTGGACTCTACGTCCAGCCGACCCTATGATGGTGCAGCACTGGCAGCGCTACTAAAGCTCTGTAATGGCTGGCAGAAACCTGGCGCACCGACTCGAGGGCAGTGCATCCTGGTGTCTCGGAAGAAGTTTGAGGTGGACATCTCTTACGATCCTGATGTGATCGCGGCTTTTAAGCAGATTCCAACAAAAAACTATGGTAAAAACTGCTTTTTTTTAAACTTTATGCTTTGTTAACGTTTTTGTGTTGTTCTAAATGTTTTCCCTTAATTTGCAACCATTGCAGACATGACCACACGAACGTGGAGCTTTTCACTCGAGGATTACAAAAGACTGAGTAACTACATTTTTCTTGTTCTCTTTTCTTTCTCTGTTGCATCCTCCATCTTGTTTCTAACCATGCTGTGTTTCCTGCTCAGTGGACCTGCTCAGTGGGATGGCAGGAGTGGAGGTGGAGCCTCTTCCCAGGGCAGTAATACAGGCCTTCGCTGCCAGCTTTGATGGGACTAAAGCCAAATCTTTAGACGTCCCTGAGGCGGACCTCTCAAGCATCGACCCCACCCTAACCTCCAGCCTCATGCCCTTCCAGAAGGAGGGAGTCAAGTAGGTGTCTCTGGGAAGCTGCTAATGCTTTCTCAGCATATTATCCCCAATAAGTCAATACTGCCTAACACCACGAGTCATTTCTCAAAGTGTTAGTTTTATGGAGATTATTTGTTGGTGTTGGTTAAATTTTGGATCTAAAAATCTGTATAGAAGTATAGGCGTTAAGCTTTAGCTGTAATTTTGAATATTCTTAACATGCCTGCAGCTTTGCGGTGTCTAAGCAAGGCCGCCTGCTCCTGGCTGACGACATGGGCTTGGGAAAGACTGTGCAGGCCATCTGTATAGCAGCCTACTACAGGAATGAATGGCCTTTATTAGTGGTGACACCTTCATCTGTTCGCTTCACCTGGGCTGAGGTACAAACCAGACATTTACTGTTCATATATAAAATGTATTTGTTTTCATTACCTTCTGCTCCTTTATTTAATTTGCCATAAGCATCACAATAGCAAAGCTGGACACTGAAACTCTTTAGCTGAAATAATAGGCAAATCTTTTACTAACTATGTTTGCTGAGGAATTCATTAGTTAGATTTTCTTTGGGGTTCATTTAAATTTCTACCTGCGTGTTTCCTGTAGCATTTATTTCGTTAATTTAGCAGCGGCGAAACTGTTTTTTTATGCAATTTCAATTTCCTGACTCCTGTGTTCACATTTTTCAGTTTTTATTATTTGTCATCTGGAATGATAAGCATATTTTATATATTTATAGCAAGTTACTGTAATCATGGATTTATACTCTACATACATTATTTAAAGCTAGCAGATGATAAAAAGTATAATTTTAGGCACTTGCACATCAGTAAGGATAATCAAACACTTTTCATTGTCATCACCTTATTTAGGTTTTTTGCCGGGGAATTTAAAAACACGAATCTGTATCAGAACTTAAATAAAATCTTGTTTGGACTTTTGTTTGCATAAAATGTCTTTGGGATGAGACTTTGGAACTTTCTAGGCTGTTAATTCTGTTAATTGAATCAGCTTCCTGGTAAGAGAACAAAAATAAGCTTCCTTTTAAAGAAAACATTTTTTTTTTTTCTGTAAGTCTAACAGGTTACTGACATGATAAAATGATGAGTGATTTGTCACAACCAGAGACGGTGGTCTTTAAAGGGTAGGTTGACTAACACTGAGCCTGAGCGGCTAGAGATTTTTAACACTGTATAGCTTGTAGGCTATGAAGGTATGAATGATGACTAACGGCCTTATTCCAGTTCAAAAAGACCATCCAATTGTCCGTTGTCTATAAATACCCGCTAGTAGAACAGAGGGGTTGGGGCCGGCTATCTCCTGTGGTCATTGGGTGTAAAGTGGAGTCTGATTTTTGGGACCTAACTTTTTGTTTTTTGTTCAGATGACAGAGAACCAAAAGATAAATGCACTTTCTACCCTCTAAGATCAGGGTTTCAGCTTGACCTGTCCGGTTTAAATTAAAAAATTGAAGAACTGGAAGTTTTTTTTCATGCCACAGATCACAATCCCTGCCTTTAAGGATCTCTATTTACTGTACAGTGAATTCCAGATTTGACTAAAACGCATAAAAAAGATCATCTTGTTGGACTAGCCCTTTAAACTGCTGAGAAATCAAACCCTGTTTTATAAAAGTTGCAACTAAAGCTGAAACAGTTATTTGGATTAATCATGATCGATTGATTATGGAAATAATCTTCAATTTAGTAATCGATTAATTGTTAACACGAATGTAGAGACTCTAAAACATGCCTTTAACTGACAGAGCAACCCACCTTAAGCAACAATTATACCAAAATTGTAAAACAAATGTAAATATTTTTCATTTAATATAAATATATTTTTCCTCTGTCATTATGCTGTATCCAGAGGTCCTCAAGTAGAAAAGTTTTATTTTCACCTGATTTGTTTTGCAAAATTCTTGTTTAAGGACCTTTTTGCCACCCGATTACTAATCTATTATTCAAAAAAAGAATCTAAAGATTAATTGATTTGCAAAATAATGTGTAAGTTGCAGCCCTAGTTTCAACTCTTAAATACCCAGAATGTTGTTAGTCTGGAAATAGAAATGCATTTGAAAATGAATTGGTAGTTACACTGCTTAGAGCGGTTCATTGCCAGAGATGAAAGTGAAGTAAATTCTTATAATGTTGGTCCATCTATTTTATTAATGATTGATGCCTTTAGGCCTTCAGACGCTGGCTCCCCTCACTGAGTCCCGCCAGCATCAATGTTGTGGTGAAGGCCAAGGAAAACATACGGTCTGGTTTGGTCAACATCGTCAGCTACGACCTACTGAGCAGGATGGACAAACAGCACCCAGGACAACCCTTCAATGTCTTCATTATGGTGGGCTGCTATAGAACTGGCTCCAGTTTAACCAGTTCCTGAAACCCTCATGATGTCTAAAGATCTGGTTTCTGTCTTTAAACAAAAAAAATCTCCCTCTCTCTGCGCAGGATGAGTCTCACTTTCTGAAGAACATGAAGACTGCTCGTTGCAAAGCAGCCTTACCTCTGCTGAAGGTAACCATAGAGAACAATTAATTTATTGCTGGCAGAAGGTGGAGTCTTTTTGTTTAGTGTTATAATTGCACTTATAATGAATCTACATTGCTGAAAACACCGCATAAACACAGCGAAACATGGTGGTGGGAGCATCATGCTGTGGGAATACTTTCCAGCAATAAGAAGAAAATAACAGATTAAAGCTGATGGGAATATGTTAGTGGCCTGCTCAAAGTCCATTCTATGGAAAGACTTTACAGTTGATGTTTTCTCTCCATCTCGGGCCCCTTTGCTTACATTTTAGATATTTTGCAAAGATTTTTGCTTGTTCCTCCACAAGAAAAAGCAAAAACCTTTTTAGTTCTGTTTTTATTGATTGTATTGCTGTTTTTTCAAACTTCTGTTCTTATTCTCTTCTTGTTTCATGTTGAAGATGTTTATTCCTTTAACATGTTGAGGTCTTCATCAGAACTATGGTTCTATGAGCTGGATTATCTGTATGTGTAAAGCTGATAAAGCTATGCCTCAAAAACCTTTTTTGTTCTTCCAGGCAGCGAAGAGGGTGATTCTTCTGTCAGGGACCCCTGCGATGTCCAGACCCTCTGAGCTCTACACCCAGATCCTGGCAGTCAGACCTACACTTTTTCCTCGCTTCCATGAGTTCGGGGTGCGCTACTGTGATGCTCAAAAGGTAATTTCAGTCTCATGAATCAACACCTGAAGGGGGTTATTTTATTTAAATGCACTTTGTCAGATTGGGTTATTTATTACATCTCTACTAAATCCATAACAGTTTTCTTTAGTAGAACCAAGCAAGAGGCTCATGATGAAAAATAGATCGTTGGATCTTCACCAACCTTAATTAATACGATTTACTTACTAAACTGATTTTCTTCAAACACTCAGTTTGTTCACTGACTTTGACCTTTCTTGATCTTTCCCACCATCTTGTTTGTTCACCTGCAGCAAAACTGGGGCTGGGACTACTCCGGCTCCTCTAATCTCGGAGAGCTCAAGCTTTTGTTGGAGGAGTGTCTGATGCTGCGCCGCCTGAAGTCTGATGTCCTCTCCCAGCTTCCCTCCAAGCAGCGAAAGGTTGTCACCGTGACGATAGATGGGGTCAGTACCAGCACCAAAGCTGCTCTCTCAGCTGCAGCCAAGCTTCTGGTCAAAGATCATCGCAGTGTAAGTCTTCTTTGTTTTACCTTTAAGATTTCTTTCTAATTAAACCTATGTATTTCCTTGCAATGTTCTGCAACAAATATTTTCTGAACATTATTATTTATTCGGTGTAATCCTTGTTTTGTTAAGCAATTGTTTTTAATTTGCTTCCTAGATCTTCCATATTTCTCACCAAAAATCCGTGTTAATTACATGTCCTGTTGGAATCATATCATAAAGATTCAAAGATAAAAATGATTTTCATCTAATGCCTTGATATTTTTATTATTTTAAATTTATTAAAAGGAGAGCTACTGATTCTGATTTCTGTAGAAAATTTATGATTACTAAAAAATAAAATCTATTTTTTTAGATATTCTTGTTGACTTAGACATGTAACTGATTATTATAATTTTTTTTTTCTTCTTGTTTTTTTTTTCTTCTTTTGTTTGAATGTAATGTAACTGATTAAAGTAAATTTATTTACTAACAGTATCAACTTTTGGCACAAAGTTACAGAGCTTTTCTCTCTGTGCTGCCAAGAAGACGTGTTAGTGCTGTAAACACAGTCTAAAAGCCAGCATGGTGGCCGAAGAGGTACTACAGGATGGTCTAAAACTGAATTAAACTATTGAAGTTTTTGGTTGACATGTGATAAAATGTGCAAAGTTTTCAAAAGTATGATTACTGTTTTTATAGATTAGCTTTTTTAACCACTTTTAATCGCCAACTGAATATTTCTAATAATTGCGTGCAGCAATGCAATCCAGTTTCTTTAAAAAACAACAGAAGCAGCCTGTTTGTTGTTATCAAAAAACAACCCTATTTTTTTATAAAAAGCAAATTTTTTTTCCTTAAGATTTTTTTCAGATGATTCCACCCCTATGTTTTTATTTATTTTATCCATAAAACTGTTAAAAATTACATTCAACACAAGCTGAACAAAAAACAGTTTGGCTATTGTTGAATATTTCTGGATCTAACGGTCTCATGAGTATAGCTCATTGTTATGACAGTGTTTAAAATGAAAGGCTGTGTGAATGAAAGAAAACGTAAATCTCATAGTTTTCTTTCAGCAAAGGAAAACATATGTTTCGGTTTTATCTCTCTCCGTTCACGAGGGAATCGGTTCAAGCTTCAAACACAGAAGTGGCTTTAAACGCCGAGGAGTGCTTCAGTCAAGCTTTATTTCCCTCTAATGGGGGCGAGTTACAGAGCATGATTGTGCATAATCACAGTGCTCATCACAGTAATGGCAGTCCTATCAAATCATCAAGCAGAATCCTGTCACTTCTTATCTTTTGCACTTTTCTTGTCTTTTCTTTCAGAAAAAAGAGGAGAAGGAGGCCCTTCTTATCTTTTACAACCACACAGCTGAAGCCAAGCTGCAGGCCATTATGTGAGTACACTCCCCCCTGATGAAGGAGATCAGGGAGTCAGATCAGATGGAAATAAAAATGTTGAAATGAAACTGGATAATTTGTATGATGAATCTGATCAAAGTGATTCAGAAATAAGAAATGACGTCTAACACAAATATTGCTATGAATCCGTCTTATTAAACGCCTCTGTGTGTTTTTGTCATTGTCAGGGAGTATATAACAGACATGCTGGAGTGTGGCAGGGAGAAGTTTCTTGTCTTTGCCCATCATAAATTAGTCCTGGATCACATCTCTGCCGAACTGCTGAAAAAGGTAAACTATTTATTGGAAATTATGTTTTCTTGGATAGTGTTTTTCTTCAGCATTTTGTCTTTTTACATTCAAAACCTTTATTTTATTAGGATTTCAGCCAACACACTACTACAGCCAATACAAAGTAGTGCTTGATTGTACTTGGGATCTTATTGATTTGATGGGATTCATTTTTTTTTTTTCCTAAAAAACATAAATATCTGAAAAGTGTAGCTTGTATTTATCTCCAGTTCCTCTGTGTTCATACATTTTCTCTACCAGCTCAAGTCTGGAGACAGATTATGTTGCTTCTAATAACTCAACAGGAAAGGGCATCATTAAGCTCAATCAGGTGGAAGCCGAGCATCTGTGACCATCAGTTTTCAAGTCTTGTTTTGGAACTGGGATTTGACTAGGATATGAGTTTGCTTTGATTTGATCCTTTCATTATCATTATTGCAGCTTTGGCTCCAGTGCAAGCCCCTTCATGGCTTCTAGCTAACAGCAAAGGGACTTTTTCTGACTATCTGTCTGCAGTGCCTTTCTTCGTGCCGCTCTTCTATCAGTGACAGACTGGTGGATCTCTCCAGAGTTACCGCAGGGTTCATGGTTGCTTCTCTGAAAGATGCTTTATTTGTCTGAGTTGTCAGTTTAGATAGAAAGTCATGTCGCAGTACATTTCCAGCTCTATCCTTTTCTTTACATTTTCAGATGGTTACATGAACAGTGTTTCAAAACTTTGTATATTGTTGTAGAAGTTAAACCTGTTTTAAACAGCTCCACAAGCTGATCCCTGTTCATAATGCTAATCATAATGCTAATCCTCATTTTCCTTAACAAACTTCCTATATCTTCACAGAACATTTGAATTTGTAATGGGAATAAACTACTTTTTAATGTGTTTTAAAGCATGTGTAATGTTTATTACATCTAAATATTAGTTATATAAATATTAGTTATAAAGAGTTCTGCCAGACGCTGTGTTGTTTCTTTATCGTTCATATTAATGATGGTTGAGTGGTATTTATTTTTCTTGATCCTTTTTTTTTTTGTCAAAAGAATATGATTAAGCTTTTTACCTTCAACAGAACGTCAGCTTCATCCGCATCGACGGAGGGACTCCGTCCGCAGAGCGGCAGCATCTGTGTGAAAAGTTCCAGTATTCCTCCAAGTCCTGTGTGGCTGTGTTGTCAATCACTGCAGCTAATATGGGTCTCACCCTGCACTCTGCAGACCTGGTGATCTTTGCTGAGCTCTTCTGGAACCCAGGGGTAAGCCAGCCCTGTCAAACATGTCTAAGAATTTCATATTTCTGTTTAGGACTGTTGTTTAGTTACAGCTGTTTGGCTCATCTTACCTCGGGCTCATAGACTCACAATGTAATAGGAAGGATCTGTATTTCAAACTCTTGACAGTGTTACTTTTTACGTATCACTCTGTGGGGCACCAGGCAAAGCTTTGTTGCCTTGTGGCCATAAAATATATAAATGCTTCCCAAAGGATCAATAATCCATTATTATGTGATAAATTAAGGGGAAACGGTGGATCCAAGCTTTCAGGCAGTAGATTGAGGAGACTAAGGATGTCCATGTATCAAAAACCATCCTACAAACTGTCCTTATTAATAAATTAGGTTTTTTTTTTAGACATTATCAGAAAAAAAAAATCTGATTGCCAGTAATTATTATGTACAAAAGAAAAGAAAGATCCAAGAATCTCTAGAGGAAGAAGTGAAGGGGCTGTTAGTCCAAGAGGTTTGCATTCATCACCTATGGAGAAAGAGTTTTCTGACCTATGTTTCTTTCCATGTTTTGCACAGCAGAGGCATTTTGTTATGAGGGTTAAAACCATTTGGTGTATTTTTATTAACAAATTAATTCTATAAACTCCAGTTTCAAGACTTACCAATACCTACAAGCCTTTGAAAGGTTTTAGACTTTATTGAGACTTCTTTTCAAATTCAAAGTCTGCTTCTGGTTTGCGTTTCAATGAGTGAGTCCTGGAAGAAGTGAAGGCAGAAAAACTGTCTCCATCTTTGTTCTTCTAGGTGACATAATCTTTTTTTTCAGTGCAAGTTATCCCTGTAGCTTGTTCAACCACCACTTTTTTCCTCCCATTTAACTTTCCATGAATTTGCTTGGATGTAGCTCTCTATAAACAGTTCCTTCAGCCATAGTAAAATAACATTAGATCCTTCTGTCATTAACTAAACCAACTAGGGGTTGGAGTTATGATACCTCTAGTTTCAGCTTCATAACCTAATGTTTCTATAGCTAGCTTCCACTTTTCTCAGAGATATTTACACTTTTTCATGAAAATACAGATTTTATCTTTGCTTCAAAGGTCCGAGACTGAATATTCTTTTACTATTTAGAGTTGAAATATAATTGTGAGGAACACAAGTTAGCTAAACTACACGAGGGGATAAAAATATGTTTTCTAGAGTGTGTTTGTAGAGATGAACTATATATCAGTATTAATGTTGGTAACAGCTAATGTTTGTAATTTTTAAGCATATTGAAATCAGTTGGATAAGTAAAACCTGGGTTATATTTTAAGAACTGATGTTAATTTCCATTAAGTTTCTGCTTTAGTTTTGCAGGTGTTTAACTGAAGCCGAGGTCAGTTCATGGTCTCCAGAGGGAGGAAAATCTGTTCATCATTTTTTAATTTATCAAATAATAATCAGATTTTCCTTAAAGAAGATTTTTTTGGAAATTAGATCAGGTGAAACTCAAACTTTCTACTTGAGTTATGAATAAAACATATTGACAGATAAAATTGTATTTTAATTTTAAATACAAACTGTTTTTTTTTTTTGTACAATTTTGATATAAGTGCTGCTCTAAGTGGGTTTGTTTGTCAGCTAAAGACATGTTTTACAGTCTCTATACTCTATTTAACGAACAATCGTAACTGAATTAGTTGACGATTATTTCAGTAACCGATTAATGCGATTAATTGTTTCAGCTCTAGTTATCAGCCATAAAAGGAATAATAATTCTTATTGGCCCAAATCTTTATATCTTTGCTTCTGTAGCTGTTTGGCCTAAAGTATTGCTCTCCAAATTGTTTGGTAAACTGGTTAAAATCTCCAATTTGAAAATACTGAAGGGGTGTTATTATTGTCTGGATGTTAAACCGTCCTCAGAGGCTTATAATTAATTTTTACAGTAATAAAATACACATTTTTAATAATTATTTTCATGTGTTCTGTTCTGTATAAGAAATGTTATTAGAATTTTGCTTGAAAATGTACCATACTTCCATTTAAGACTGATAAAAATCAGCTGCCAGTAAAATAAATAGAAATTGGAAAAAGTTAAAATTGAGAAAATAAAAAATGAGATACATTTAGAATTATCAGCAGCAGATTTGTTGACTTCTGTTAATTTGTTTTTGTTTATTGTTGATGTTTATTGTAAGTAGAGCTGTGGGTGAGCTGTTCCAGCTTGTTAAAGATGAAAACCACTGCAGAACTTTGCAAAAATGTTTTTTCTTCAGGTTCTCATTCAGGCTGAGGACAGGGTTCATCGTATTGGACAGACCAGCAGTGTCAACATTCACTACCTGGTTGCCAAAGGGACTGCTGATGATCATCTGTGGTATGTCTTCAATCATTCATTCCCTTACATTAACTGACCTTGGAGCTAAAAAGTTAGAGGTTGGTGGGTGGGGTAATGTGGGCTGAGTGATATGCGTGTCATGAGAAGCTCAAACCTTACTGCTCCAATTATTTTTGTCCTGATCCAGGCCAATGATTCAAGCTAAAATGAACGTGTTGGAACAGGTGGGTCTGTCTGAGTCAAACCTTTCAGACAACGCCGTGAATGCAAGCTTCCACTTAAAGGTGGGTTTCATACATGCTGCTCTGTGAAACACATTTACATGTGATGATCCAATGTCCAACCTTATCGCATGAATTTACCCAGGACCCGAGTCAGAAGAGCATCATGGAAATGTTCCAGAGATCTTTCTCTGAGGAAGACGACTTTGACGAGGCCATCCTAATGGAGGCTGCAAACGACTGGGAAGACACGCCCCCAGAAACGACCCCTGCTCCTTTCCCCGATATCACCAATGTTACAGATGGCCCCAACAAAAAGACTATTAAAGACTTTTTTAACAGATGACTCCAGAAATGCTTTATATCACCTTTGTTTGTTCACTAGAGTGGGATATTTCTCCTTCGTTATGCCTATCATGACCAAAGTTAAATGTTCCTGTTTTTCTGCAAAAGTAAAATATGTTTAAGTTATGCTAATAAAGGAAATACATTTAAAAAAGCTGACAGTGTTAAATCTCATTATTTTCTCCGTTAATTAATAAATTAACATTGAAGATAGAAGGTGGATCACCTGAAGCTCTCAGATGTTTTATTTCATTTATTATTGATTATTGTTCAAGATATTTCCATAATGTGTTTGTTTAGTGTTATACTTACATTATCTTTAAAAAACAGCTAAAATTTAATGAAAACTGACAAGGTCATAATATATTACTCATCTGCAAATTGAAGAAGATTGAAAAAAACTTGGTGATATATATTTCTTTTTATAGCTCTATGATGGAATCTATGTTTATGTTCCTGTTACGTTTAGGTCAACCTGTCAATGATACAAAAATAGGAGGAAAAGCGGCTGAAAAAAATATTGGCACTGAATTAACTGAAGCAAAAGAAACATTTTTAATCAGAGATGAACAAAATAAATCTGCTCTTCATATCTCCAACTTTATGGAGAATTTGAGCATCTAGAAAGTTTTCCGAAGCCTAAATCAAAGATTGATGCATGGAAAATCTATTTCCCAGACCGTTATTTAGACGTCAAAGTGTTATTGGTTGGGGCGTGCTTTGGTGGTGGTTGGCGCACATGACCCATGTATGGAGGTCTTAGTCCTCAACACGGGCGACCCGGGTTCAGATCCAGCTTATAGTGCTTTCCCACGTCTCTCCACCTGTCTCATACTCTCATTCCTGTCCATAAAAACGAGCTGTAAAAACTCGAGAAAAAAAAAAAAAAAAAAAAAGGCTATTGGTTGTCTGTCTGCTTTTTTTAAATTGATCTATTGACTGTTCTAAACTTGTAATTGAGTGACTGCATCTGTGTTTTTAATGTCTACCTTGCAGTAACACTTTGTTTTCAGGATTCCCCATTTCAGTCTATAAACACTAGAAACCAATTGTGCAATTGTTAAACCGGGAATACCACCTTTCATGATTCCCCAAGCCCCCCTCATATTTAATTACATTTTTTCATACAAATTGTTGAAATGAAAGAAGTCCCCATTCTTATGATGCCACACATCACTGGTTCAAGGGAAAGTGGGCTGATTTTTGCTTGGAATGGTTTAGATTGTCCTTCCGTCTCCGGTCAGAAGGACCGGAGATGGCTGGGATTTCAAATCTGAAGATCATCTAAACAAGAATGAAGGAAGGGCGTGCAGCTGGCGTAGTGGTTAATGCGCATGACCCATGTACGGAGGCCTTAGTTCTCGACACGGCCGACCTGGGTTCCGGCCTGTGGTCCTTTGCCAAGTGTCTCTCCCCCCCCTCTCATACCCCCTTTCCTGTCAGCTTATTGTCACAAAAATTAGCCACTAGTGCCGTAAAAACTCAAACAAAGAAAGAAGAGAACAAAGGACTGATCAAATATGTGCTGTACTGTCCTGCAACAAGGAACTTGATTGTGCCGTCAGTCGATCATCTTACATATAAGTGTTCTTGTTCAGGTCTAAATGATTAGTTAAAACCATTAGGGTCTTCAGTAGCTTCTGTTTCTGTTTCTACCATCTTTACTTAGAGCATCTCCAGCTGCTGCCTGAGACAATGAGAGAATAAACATCAGTTTTCTTTACAGAGCTCCAAAGGCTTAGAGTCAATGCAAAAATAACATTTTCTGTGCATTATAGTCATTTCTAAATTAGTAATAAAAACAGCTGTAAGCAAGATTTTTCACCCTTGTACAGTTGGTAGCTTCCCAGTAGATAGACTTAGAGACCTAGACAACCTTTATTGTCATTTTGTATACACAGAGTGTATACAAAACGAAATTTCTTTTTGTGCAGCTTTTAGAACATTTCCATTCTATAAAGTGCAGCAGTGATCAAATGTGAACAGTGTGGGAGAAAAAAAGATATGTTCAGAGCATTAATATATATGGTGCAAATATGCAGTATTTTGTTTTATTGTCAGTGTGATGCAGAGTCTGTGACGTGATTTAGAGTTTCTTTACAACAGTTCAGTCTGTCTGATAGCGGTGGGGAAGAAGCTGTTGGCACCTGCATTGAATGCTGCGAAGCCTCTTTCCAGAGGGCAGCAGGGAGAACAGTCCATGGTGGGGGTGTGAGGGGTCATTAATGACATTATGGGCTTGGGACACGCAGCGCTGGGATGAAATGTCTTTTAGGAAGGGAAGAGGAGCCCCGATGATCTCTACTCTTCTCACCTTCCAGTCTGAGGCGCTGCAGCCTCCACACCACACAGTGAGACAGCTGGTCAGAAAGCTCTCTATAATGCTTATGTAGAAGGTGGTGAGGACAGGTTGTCCAATTCTGGAGCTTTCTGTTGCCGGACGAGAACCTTTCAGTTTTTAGTTGTTTTTCTTTCCTCAAAGCTTTCTACAAAAAGGCTTTAGAGCGGTTTTCACCAACCTTTTCCAGGCTTAGGGCTACTTCAAGGATACTGAGTCAGGGGAAGGGCTACCAATAAACATATTTTTATGGTTTCTTTTCATTTTGATTTTTCCTTAGATATTGTCATTGTGAAATCTCTATAAATGCTTACATGACCTATAATAAATATTATTAAATGCTCTATAAATGATTAAAAAAAGCCATGGAATAGAATAAAATTCCAAACATAGCCCAGTTGTGAGTCATTCAGGAGATGCGGGGAGCACCTCCTGTGATCCTTTGGTGCCCAACTGGCACCATGTTCGTGACTCCAGCTTTACAGGATATTTATCTCCGGTAGGTATGATGGCCATAGCTCGCATAGCATTGTTTGCAACAGAAGGAGCTATTAATACGTTAGTTATTCAAGCGATTGTTTGGGATGATGGGCTTTTAATGCATATCATTTTTAATCATGTTTAAAGTGATTTCAGTTCCTCAGACCTTAATGCAACATCCAAACCAAATTGTGTTTAAAAAATGCCAGAAAAAAATGCAGATGAAATACAACAAAGGAAATATTTATGTCCTTTTTTGGTCTCATTCTTTAAAGCGTTAAATGGTCTTAGAAACAGAGACATATACACAGTTTTACCAGAACCTGACCTAAATAAACCAGCTTTATTCCTCTGACTCACAGTCTGGCCTTTTTCATAATCAACACCTAATAGCCCTGGCTGTTCCTGTTAGCTCTACTTGTTTAATTAGATGAGAAACTGAGAGGGGGCTGTTTTTCTCATTAAGCCATTTCCTGCCTGCCTTTAGGGGACCATTTTAATATTTAACAGCAAAGGTACCAAGGTGAAGTACAGTGATTGTTGAGAAAAGGCTTAAATTTAATTTGGTATAACAAGAAGGTTATCGAGCTAAATGGAGAAAAAAAAAGGACAAATTTAATTGATATCCATTTTCTTTATTTAAGTTGTGATTCTAACCCATTGAGAAGCTTTTCAGACGTCGTTCATGCTTGGCACCTCCATGCTGACCTTATTTAGTAGAGGCTTCTTCAGTTGTAGATCTCAACGGTTTTTTGTTTTCTTCAGAACTCTTCAGCTGAAATACAGACATTTTAACTTTAAAGTAAAATTTACGAAATTATTTAATCAAGCACACAACCCACCAAGTGTAAATGCTTTGTAATGCTGGAGATAGAAATAAAGAATGGCTCATACCAGGATACCTAAGATGGTTCTGCTAGTTTCTCTGAGACAGAAGCTGCATCTGTGCTGATATCACCAAAGATGAACTGGATCTTCTCCTCTGCGTGCTGCTCGTTGGAGGACCCATGCACTGAGTTGTGGAGGATATCAGCAGCAAAGCGCGCCCTCAGAGACTGCGGGGATATTTCCTTAGCTTTGTCGGGATCGCTGGGGCCCATCATGGCCCTCCACTCCTCCACTGCGTTCTCCTTAGTCAAAATGAGCATCATGCAGGGCCCACTATGAGAAACAGAAAATTCATGAAAGAAAATAAATTATTTATTAATTTTTTTAGCTCTTTATTGCGATTTGTTTTAGAATAAATAAACGTTACTAATTTTAGCATGTTTTCTTTTTCAGTCAACCAAACTTTCTTGTGATATTTTAAATTTGTCTTCAAAATAATTTCCTCCAGACTTTCTGAAGGTCTTTTTAACATTTCCTTTGAACTTTAGCTTCATTTTCACTCGTCTGTCGCACCTAATCCTGATAACTGCAGGTTAGTTTATGACTGCCCAATTAAGATTACAGCATACAGAAAAGGGGACAATATTAGAATTGTTTATAACTACATAAATCAAGTTTAAGGCATGTATCATGTTTTAAAGTAAAAAATAGGAGCAAAAAAAAAAAGAGCAATAACTTAAACAGTCCCTGAGATGTGCAGCTTCCTTCAGCGTATGCATTGTTGACAAAAAGCTGTTTGTGAATCACCTTGTTGGTTCAAAAGCCCAAAGATTAAACTAGTTTTTATCTTTCAAATATATGTTTGATAAAATAGGAACAAGAAGTTTGAAATGAAGACAACAACAAAATTCTAACAATAGAAAAATAGTTAAAAGGCTTGTTTCAAAGTAATCTAAGGTAGTCTAGCTGATTTTTTTTCACAACATATATTAAATATTGGGTGACCCAAGCAATTTCGACTGTTGTGTAACATAGCAAATATGTCATGCAAAAGTAATTCCATACATAAATAAGCTAAGGAATCACCTCACTGGTACTGTACAAAGGAGAACTTCAAAACTTCAGCTTTTATTTCAGGTTTAAATATTAAGTTTGAAGTCATAAATGCAAGTTAAGCTCATAGCTGAACATTCGAAAAGTATGGAGGATTATGAAGGTTTTTAAGGATATGAAGGTTTTTGCTGACAGGAAATATTTTCAATCAGCAAAACACATAATGAGGAAACCAAAGGAGCCTCAGTCATCCCCCTTATTAACATGATGCTTTTTTTAAGCGATCTACCTGCATTATGTCTGTTAAGCAGCTGCCTGGCTGTTAAGTTAACATCAGTTTAAGTTTAGTATGTTTTCTTAATTTCACCTTTTTCTGAACAGTGTGGATACTTGTTGCTTTTCTGTTTTAAATCAAAGCAATGCACAGGTTATTATTTTTTTTAATATTTTTTTAAATGTCTAACCTATGACATTTATTATAGTTTATCGCTTTTATAAGATTTTCATATCAGCCAATGTTTCAAACTCAGCCTTCCGAACTGTGTCTGCTTATGAATAAAGGTTTCCGTTTACATCAAAGCTAACATAATCTGAGGGATACGAGAATTCAATCTAAGCTCATACTGTTTAACCCACAGCCTGAGCCTGATGTGAACAGCCTCTCCTTTACCAGCACTAAGGACTGATCAGAATGTAAGGTAGGGCTAGAAACTGGACATAATGTCCAACAAAAAATGAAACTGAGATTGACTTCTATGCCTTTGGCCTGAGGCTGCCTTGACTCCTAGCTTCCAATATCACAGTATAAATTGAAGTTGAGACTGGCAGTGGAAAAAGAAGTCAGAGTGTTTGCAATGCCCCTGGGTTCGTGTGTGGTGACAAACCAACCGACACATAAAATCCACCAGCTGGATGAAGAAAGGCTTCTCCCTGTGCTCTTTGTAAAACTCCTCAGCCATTTCCCTTGACAGCACAGTCTCCTTCAGCTGCTCTACGGTGAAGCCTCTTCCACGGATCTCTTCCAAAATCGTATCTGTGAGTGTTGAGAAAATAAAACGGAAATAAACAAAAAGGAAAGAAAATCAAACCTGCTCAGTTGTGCTGAAAGTACAAGAAGAACCTCTGTGCTCCTCCAGAGCATCGGGTTTGATGACTGCCAGCGTCCTTTGTTTAGGAAAGAAGAAGCTGAGCTCTCTTTCTGCTTCCTCAGGGTTTGCACTGCCATGAAGCTGGTTTATGGGCGCGTTCTCCACTGCAAACTGGGCCCTTAGACTGTGTGGGAGGGAGATGGAGGCTTGACTTCAACAATTTGCAAAAGTAACTATACTTGTTGAATCACGTCTTTAAAAAAACATTAAGCTTATAACGATAGAGCAACACAAAGTAGTGTATAACCATGAAGGTAAACAGTTTGAAACATTTTAGTAATAAAGCTCAAGCTTCTATCACCTAAATTTGCTTGGATCTAAATCGTTTTAGTTCAAACCACACCTCTTTAGTCTTAGATCTTTTTTGAAGCCTTTGAACTTTTTTTTTTCTTTTCTAGGATTTCCTTTTAATTAATCCAGTTCATCATGCTATACAAAAGCATCCCCATAGCATGACACTACCACCACCTTGTCTAACTCATTTATTACAAAATGTGAGGCCATTTGGCAACACTGGATTTAATTTGGGCGTATGTTATCTATACATAAAATAGAATCTACTGATTATATTTTAATGCCTTATGAGAAAACATTTTAAAACTATATATTCTACCTTGTGTTGGCCATTTACATAAAATACTTTTATTTTGTTTCTATAATGTGACAAAATGTACGAAAAAAAATGTGCATGTGTATTATTGAAGGCATAGGTTTGAGCAAACGGTTAGATTTCCCCCATGCAGAAATATATATATATTATAACATTTCTGCATATAATAATAATAAATATAAACACTTGATGTTTCCAAAATTTTCCAAGAAGATGCAGCAAATCAAACACTGTTTCAAATGTGGGTCATTTTCTGCATTTCTATTCACATCTGTTCATCCTATCCTGAACCATGTGGTCATTTTCACATTGAAAAGAAGAGAAAAAAAACATCCTCAGAAAAATCACTGAAGCTGGAGGGAATATATTGCTTTTTCCAAGTGGGAAAACAGACAATAATAAAAACCGATAAACTGTTTTGTAGTGTAATAGCAAAGCTATTGGAAATTAAGTTATTATGCAACCGATTTCTTTCTCTGGGGCAATTGTGGCACAGCAGATTTAAAATGTCTGAGTTTTATCTGGTTCTGATAACAGGGCGGGTCAAAAAAGATGCTTTATTTAACAAGCTGTCACAGTGAAAACCTACAGTGCATTTCTGCAGGTAATCATGCTGCAGTGACCGCCTACTCTCTTTTTAACTATTGAATCAGGAGGAGAAGGCATGACCAACCACTCAGGATCCTCCTCTTTGGCTTTGTGAAGGTCAGGAGGGCCGAGGATGTTCTTCCAGTGATGGACAGCCCCTTCTCTGGCCAAAGCTAAAGCAAGAACCGGTCCGCTGTAATTACAGAGATGTTGTTCAAATGTTTGCTTTAGATTTTTGGATCCATAGAAGAACAGGTCGAATTTACCTCGTCATGTTTTGTAGAAGGGCAGGAAAGTAGTCTCTATCAACATGCTGGAAGTAAAACTGTCTGACCTGCTCCTCTGTCAGCATCACCTCCTTTTGGAGGGCAACTGTGAAGCCTGCCTTGTGAATCTGAGCCAAGATCTCATCTGTAAGATAACAGGGATATTTTGACCAATAAGAACTGCACAATCATTCCTGTTATGTTAGGAGCAGCAGTCAATGTTTTGATTATTAGAAATGCAACAAAAAATTATACCCCTTAAACCTTTCAACCTCAAATTTAAAAAAGTTGGATTTCATAGATAAAAAGTAATGCATAAAGAAAATGATAATGATTAGGTTTTCATTGCAAAACACCTCAAACTTAGTCAAATTGTTTTCAGCTTATTAATGGTTGTGCTGTCATCAGCCCTCTGCAGCTTCTCCAGGGTTTCCATGGGCTTCTGCTCCCTTTGATGCTGACCTTGCCCTCAACTATAGGTTTAAAGTAGTGCCGTATTGTAATTATTTTAGCAAACTTGATAAAACACAGGTTTGATGAAGCAAAAAGGTGTTAAAGGTGAAGAGACTCAAAAGCTTTGTGTTGATAATTAATCCCAGTCCTTTCATGTTAAAGAGAAACTTTAGATATGTTTGCACTCCCGCTCTGGAGCATTTGTGATTGTGGCTTTGGCTTGAGCCCCACCTCTGTTCTCCCTGGCAACGTCAGGCCGGATAAGAGCCAGCGTCCTCTCCACATGCTCTTCCTCCCCATCCTGCTCTGCTTCGGAGGCCGTCCTAAAGTTGGGGAAAAAGAAGGCGAGCTCCCTGCTGGCCTGGTCGCTGTCCTCGCTGCCATGTACTGCGTTGAACAGCGTCTCTGTGCCGTATTGCGCCCGCAAGCTGCAGGAAGTTGGGTGGGGGAGGAAGAAGAGAGGACCAGATGGATGCTCGGCTGGTGCTCAACCAAAGAGAAGCATAATTTCTGGGTGTGTCTGATCAAGCAGGCGAGAATATGCTGTTCATTCCCAGCTCCAGACTCAGAACTGGCACCTTTTCCAAAAATTCTTATCAACATTGCAGGAAAAGATGCACAAATTGTTTTTTTTTTTTACAGACGGAAGATTCTGCTTTATTTTTTGCATTTTTTCCCTTCTCCAAATGTCTAATATGTAGAAAATCTACCAACTGACCTTTCTGGCTTTTCTCTCCTGGCCTCCTCTATATCTGCCGGGCCAATGAACTCACGCCATGCAGGGATGATATTGGTTGTCCCCTCTATTTGAGAAAGCACCAGAATATGCGAGGGACCACTGGACATAAACTGCACCAAGTCCTCAAAGTAAGGCTGAAATAAAGCAGAACAAACACATTTACAACATTTATAAACCTTTCTTAATTATTTTATTGGATTTCAGGGCCCATGGGAGAATTTGTCGACAGAAGAACAAATAGTTCTGCACAGCCAGCATTCAGAAGAAGACGTTCTGCTAACAGAACCAGAGTATTTAGATAACAAGCAAGCATTATGTCTAGGAGAAAACCTATAACTACTCATCAACCTGGCTGAAACATTAATGGCAGCATCATTCTGTGGGGATTCTTTCCTTCAGGAGGGACAGAGCAACTGTCAGGGTTTTAAGGGGAAGATGACTGGAGTTCAACACAGAGCTGACCTGGATGAAAACCTGTTAAACGCCAAATGACTTGAGACTTGGGTGGGAGATCATCTAGCAGGACAATAAACCTTAACATACAGCCAGAGACACAGTTGAATGGTTTAGATTGAAGCATAGTTATGTTAGAATGGCCTGGTCAAAAAGTAGACCTAAATTAAACAGAGAATCTGTAGCAGAGCTTGAAAATTGATGTATCCAGATGCTCTTCATCCAATCTTGTTTAGTTAAAGTTACTTTGCAAAGAGGAAAGCTAGCATATCTTAGTCCCTAGAGACATACTCATACAAACTTGCAGATGTAAAAATAAAAGGTGGTTTTAAAAAGTAATCAGTCATATGGGGCAGAAACACAAAAGCCCATCAAACTTTTACATTTTTTATAGTAAAACAAACAAACCTGGCAGCTATTTGCTTCTGCGTGTTGGTTTTTGAAAAATAAGAAACAAATGTGAGAAAAAGGCCGAGGAGTACGAAAGCTTTAGCAAGACACTGTAGAAATTTTCAACCTGGAAGACATTTTTTTTAATCTCTACTTCGAAAAAGTAACTAAAAAAAAAAAAAAAAAAATATGTTGGTTCTTATTTATTGAACAAGGCTGCTTCACCTTACAAACCATCCCTATGAACACGGCTTGGCTGAATCTCAGTTTGGTCTTGCAACAAACAGCACAATAAGCGAAAAAGCTTTGCTTACTCAGCCGCTCTATTTTAAGCCTTTGAGGAAACACAGATGGGTGTCAAATGTGTTGCATGGGTATGCTTTGCTCTCACATTGGTATGTTGATTTAGAAAACGGAGCAAACATTCAACCACATCATCAGTTTTCCTCCACTTGGATTGGGCTTGACATTGACATGTGAGATGATGTATGTGCTTTTCTCCCCCACTGCTCTCATAATGTCAGCCATTACAACATACCTCTGCTGCTTTGTGTTGGTAAAAATCTCGAGCCTCAGCCTCAGACAGAGTTCGTTCCTCGTGTGCAAAGATCTCAAACCCAGCATCTTGGATCTATCCAGAAGGAGATGCACAGACAGAATAGATGAATGCCAGCAGGAAGGCTTGAGAAAATCTTGTCTTCTTGGAGTGTGAACATGGTTAATCCCTCTGTACCTTCATAATGATCTCATTTGCCTTGCCATGAGCAACTGCGTCAGGCTTAATGATGGCAACTGTGTAGGATTTACTGGCAGGAACTTTCATGGAAAGAGAGGAGAGTTTGATTGATGATCATTATTGCTGTTTAAATTCCAAACAACACAGCAAAGATGCCATTACAGTAAAAAGAGATCTGACCAAATAACTGCAGGCTAAAGAGATGAACAGTCAAAAGCATGTTTCCACTGTACCAATTATACTTTCTTCATTTTCTTGCTGCTGAGGCTTCTCCTCTTTCTCCTCTTCATCCAGCAAACCCTCATCTTTCACCTAAAAAACACAAACTGATTAAATCCACTCAGACTTAAGAACAGCTTGTTCCTTTTTAAATGCATTTACATGAATCAAATAAACAGTCCTTGTGTGATTTTGGTGGAATATGATGAAAGCCAATAGATAAAGTGATCATAAACAATAAAATAACAGTCCTTTCTGTGGTAAATCAGAAAACATGACTTTGAAACTGCATACTGTCTTTAGATTCACATTTCTAACTTCATGCTTGGTACTTAAGGCAGTATATCATTATATCATGATCTCCTTTAGTAAAAAGGTGAAGTGGAAAATTTTCCTTGAAAAGGGTGAAATATTATGATATCACTTAGTTAGCAACTTAATTAGAAACAAATACATTTAAGCAAATGTGAAACACTTGCAAAGGTTATCCTGTGCCATTTCCTCTGCTCAATGATAATTAACTTATTAAATAATTAAGGCAGTATGTCTTCTTATCTGAGAACATTTTACACAATAAAAGCATGATACAAACAGAATCAAAACATCAGTTATCACATCAGTATCTCTACTGCTGCTGACAGGTTTGTTAGTCTGTTTATTGCAATTCCTCCAACATTTTTAATACATCCTTTCATTGGTGTTCAGGCTTGTACGGTAACTCTGCACAGTTATTCTCTTCTGTAGCTGAAAGCATCAACAGTAGACACTTAACAAACCGGCCGCCTGTTCAAGAATTTAAAAACACTCTATAGGGACCAATGTTTGCCTGTATCACATGGCTGGGGGCAGGTAATAGGGATGTGTTAGTAAAATCCTTGCAACAACTGGGTCAAAAGAATTCATTTTCTGTATAGATTATACCTTTTTAATAAATGTTGAGGGTTTGACCACACTGCAATTATTATGCTGTGACGTTATTCCTACACTGGAAAAAAAAAAAATCAAGATCTAGAGTCATTTTTTTCTTAAAATAAATTAATTTTTTTCTTGAATTGAGTAGGTGAGACACTTTGCCAATGGAAAAACACAATTTGCATTTAAAATAAGAAGAAAAAAAACAGTTGTATTGTCTAATTTCAGGTGCAAATTAAAATTATTATCTTATTTTAAGAGAAAAAAACGAATTCCATTGGCAACTCATCTTATTTACTTGCTCAAATTAAGGGTAAATATACTTTCTAAGCAACACATTCATTCTGCATATTTAGAACGAGAACACTTTTTGAGATCAAAGTTCATTTAAAAAGTGTGCAACTAAATATGTTTGAAAGTGACCTCTTTGCCTTCAAAATCATGTAAAGGAGGATTAGGAATAATTAATGAAACATGATTTTATGGTTTCTAATTTCCACGGCTCTTTATTATAAAGCCCTTTAAAGTGATGCTGAGTAACCTGTAGCCAGTAGAGGTGCTAGACTTCCTAAGAGCAACTGGCAACACTGAAGTGTGGCAAAAACTAACAGTACCTCTCCATGTTTTGGACCACTTTAGACCAGCAGACTGAAAAGTCATGGAGTAACTGTCAAAGACAAGGGAACATTCACCCCTAAAGATTAAATCCTACATCTACAGAACCAAGAATGTGTCTGATCAGATGTCATATCTGACACCTAATAACTTTTATCTGAGTATATCTAATAAAATCCTTCAGCTTTGTCAGCTCCTGTGTTTAAGGGGAGCTCAGGCTGCAGTAAAGCACTGCTCTGGGTCACGTGATCCATTCAGCAACATATCCGAACCCCTACAGTTACAATTTTAAAAATGGCAACCTACACAGAGCATCATTTAATATATCTGAAATTAAGCTAATACTTGGATCAGAAGTTAAACATTGTTGTGTTAAGCAGCAGTGCTGCAGTAAATATTAATGTATCACTACTCACCACTTTGCGCTCCCTGCCTTGTTCTAGGATCAGCTTTTCTTTAGCTAGCTCCTCCACTATCATCTTCTGGAGCATCGGAGCATTGGCACCTCGCAGCACAGCCACCAGCTCCCCGCCCTGTTCATACAACTCAAACTGAACCATTCTGATCATTTCTTTTACACATTTCTAAAACCTCTGTTGACTTTGGCCTAAAGACTAATCGAACTAAACAAGGAAATAGTAAACTCTTACATAGTCTATGCAGAAAGCCACATACATGTGGAGTAAATATTCATCAGTTTATCAAACAAAAAGACAAGGGATTCTGATCAAGGAGAAGAAATGGGGAATTAGTTAATAAAACCTAAACAAAAACAGTCACAGTGCTTGGTAAGTCAATTCGCAACTTTAGTAAGACTAATAAATACATTAAAAACCAAACAGTGATATAAAGTACATATCAAAATGAATACTTTTACCAGACTTAGGAGGAATTATTTGGGGGGAATCATTTTATAAAAAATACATTATTGCAAAAAGATGTAGTGAGTTCTTTTTAACATGCAATCATAAGGAATAGAAACAGACTGACTCCAATGAAAAGGAAGGTGGGTTCACATTTTCCTCTGTACTTCTCCAGGGCATCAATACTGTCAGCTTCAGCCTGCACACACACAAACACACAGACACACACAGTTAAAATACTGCTTCTCAGCAAGTGCTGCCTTCTACTTTAGATAATGTAAAATTAAAACCTAAAACAGAGCTTACGGTGGCAAAATGAAGAAGATCATCACTCAATTCATTCTTTATTTTTTTCAGGAGACTGACCACAGCTTGACAGGGACCGCACCACTGCTGGTAAACATCCACAACTGTATGCAAAACAGACACACTGTGCGTTTATGTAGACACAGACAATTAAATTTTTACTGGTGATAAACAGAAATTTCATTAGCATAGTTATTGGAATTTCCAAGAAAAATAAATAAATTTAAACAGTGTTAAGTATAAACAAAAAATAAATAAATAAATAAATAAAGGAACCTTTAATACTACAGTTTGCAGTTTTCTTAAAATAAAAAAAAACATCTTAAAAGGGATCTTTTTCCTTAAAATACTTGTCTAATGCAAATGTGAAATTCTAATAAAATAAAATGCAATAACTGAAACATTGAGAGACTTTTTAAATCTCTCTAATATGTGTGTAAACATTTTTTTTTTCGTTTCTATGGCAGAGATAAAAAAAACTTTAGATTAATACGTCGATTCCTTCTGCAGTTATGAGAACGAACACAAGGAGGCAGCAGAATACAGCACATATTATCAATGATCCACTTCTCTCACTGTGCAGCAATCAATTCATTTTAGATATAGTCCTGCTAAACATCGCTGATATACATACTGTTGTACATTTTAAAGACAGGAAGGGGAAGATAAAGTAAAACAAATGAAAGAAAACAACAATTTAACGCTCACCTGTTAAACCTTTTATAGTAAGCATCTCCTCCCATTGTTCTTGGCTTGTAACAGATGCCTGAAAGAAAAAAATAATAATGCATTAAAAAACCTAAAAAAAGAAAAAAGAAAAAAAAAAAGTTAATTAAATAATAGCAGGAGTGGTGGAAGATGTAAAGCTAACAAAACAATATGTTTTCTAGGCCTGTATCCAACCTGTAGGGTCGCCTCTTTCTTCTTCCCTGCCATTTATAACTATTTAGATTTATTTGGGACTAAATAAAAAAAAAAAAAATAGAAATAATGGAAAGCAATAAACAAAACCCTTCACATTAGCCAGCTAAAATAATACAGTTCTTGGTCCTGTTTGCTCCTATTTGGATGGCGCAACGATTGTTTTGACGATTGGTTGCTAAGCAACAGTTTTTTAGACAACATGTAAGTTTGTAAGCATAACTTTTAGTTTTTGTTAATGTCATGGCAAAAAACCTTCGGGTTACAAAATAAAGCATTTTTAGCCAACAGATACCAACGATGAAGCTGTTCATGTTGCTTTTGTTTTTTACCCGGACCCTTTGCATGTCTCTACATGTCCACCAGGGGGCATTGTTGCTAATCAATTGCAATTTATTTACCTATATGGAATTTAAACAGACGCATCTAAACAAACTAAAACATAATAGAAGAGTTAGTTTATTGATGTAATATAATTATATATATATATATATAAAAACTGGAAGTGATTATACATTTATTGCATGCAATGTGATGGATTTTAAGTGTTTATTTGATTTGATAATGATAAATATGGCTTACAGCTAAAAAAGGAAGAAAATAAAATAGGTTTCTAAGAAGTATAATTTAGGCTACATTAGATCAAATTAAGGTGAGAAAGTGATTCTTTGTAAATGAAGGGCCCATACAATCACTGGTATTATGCTGGGTTAATCATTGCTCAGTAGACAGGAAAGGGCATTATATACTCATATACCTGAATAAGGAAAAAAAGAAGAAGAAAAAGAAAGACAGAGAAATAAAGAAATATCTTTAATTAGTTCCTGGTGCTTATTTTGCCATGCTGCATGGTTTTAATTCCAGTTTGCATGCTCTCTTTAGGCAACCTTTTTTTTTTTTTTATCTTTTGTGTCTTTGTTTTGCCATGTGATGAACCAGCCTCCTGTCCAGGATTTAATTCCACCTCTCACCCTGAGATGATTTGACCAGTGGCCCTGTGATGGGCACAAGGCATGCTGTCTGTTATCTGTAAGCAGCCTTAGCCTCTTTCATGCTGTCAGATACGTTTTTTTTTAATGAAATTCATTAGACTTCTTGTATAAGTTTATTATTTTTAAACTCATGAAAGAGTTTAATAAATGGCTCTTAACACAATCTGAGATGTTGACTTTGTCTTACTGTGTTTCTTTTATTGTTTTATTACAGTTTTTATTTTATTATTACTTTTATATTGTTTTAATGATTGATTATTTGTATCTTATGATTTTGTATAGCACTTTGGTCCTGTTGGGTGTTGAAAGTGCTTTATAAATAAAATAATAAAATAAATTTGGTATGGAATAGTCCAAGGAAATTATTAAAAGCCATAAACCTAAATGTATGCTATGCTTTTCTATTGCTGCACTAAGGTCAGAGAGTCGCATTGACACTTTCTTATCTTGTATTCCATTTTTCATTACAGGAAGAAAATACCTTTAGATACTTTTATGCACCGGTTTTTCTGAAGATGCTCTGACTTTAGGTGAAAACACTTCTAGCTTCAACCAACAACACATGATCTTTTACATTTGCAGTTGATGGTTCTACTACATTCCCACTGAGCCTGAACCTGAAGCGTTACCTCGCATCTTTGCCCATTCTTGATGTTCCATGTTTCTGAGGAAAAAAAAACAGAAGCAGCAGAATCAAAAATAACAGTGGAGCTGTCATACTTTCTCACTTTGTGGTGTTTATTTATATGTTGAAATTGGCCCTCATCCGAACACTTTTCTATGCTCTTCCCACATGAATTTCAATGAACTGCTGCACTTAAGCTGTTCAGCTCCACAGCCTCCTCCGTCATGAAGTAGGCACGGTGAAACAGCCATAACAACTGGAGTAATTCAGCAATAGGACAAATCAGAGTGAACAGTGACAGTGAGTGGGACAGAAAATTGTAAAATAGGACACTCTGAAAGAAGCACTTGGCTCTTTTTATGTCATGTTTCAGTATTATCAACTCTACTTTTTTTTTTTTTTTTTTTTTTTTTACATTTTCAATATCTTAAAAAGGTTTGTTTCCCCTGGAACTCTTCCACTCTTTTTGATGTTACCATAACACATTGTATGGAGACACAGAGAAATGCAAAGAATATAATGCTTTATTTTCCATTTGTCTTTTTACAAATGCAGGTCTGAGAAGTTTGAAGCACATTTGCATTTAAACAACTTCACTCTAATGACACTAAATACAATTCAGTGTTACTAATTCCATTTATTATATAGAGAATGTGAATTAACACAGAAAAGCTAAATATTAAGTTTAAAAGTAAAAAGCACAAACAGGCTACAAAGCAATATTCAGAGCTTCGAGCATTTAATAAAAAACTGTTCATTCCAGTGTGCTATTGCACAACTTCAGAGCTATTTAGACCTGTCTGTCATCTCAACTCAGAGGCCAGATAAGGTAACTCATGTTAACTCTGGAGGAGCTGCAGTGATCCAGAGTTCAGGGGAATCTGTCAAAAGGAAAACACAAATTTATACCTTTATAGAAGAAAAGCAAAATGAAAAACATAGGGACCTTGAATTGTTTGTTTTATAGTTTTGCTAAATATCACACTAATAAAGCAATTGTCTATATACTACATAAGGCAGCCAAATCCAGCAGTTCTTAATCTTCACACATGATCTTAATACACTGAAGATTCATTATACCAATGATTTGGACAGTCTGTTCAAGCTGCAGATCTGTAATCTGTATTTAACCTCTTTAGTGGGAGGTTGGATAGCAAAATATTGAAGAGCATTATTTTGACCTCAGAAAGTCACAATAAATATTTGAAACATTATATTTCTTACATTGGTGAACCAAAATGGACACCTGCATCTCTACTTTAGTTTCCCATTTTCAACTATTGCTGTTCTCTCCAGACCCGACCATTAGTAATTGAAGATAATTTTTGACATATTAATGGAGAAAATGTCTGGCCACAACAAAAGCTCTCCAAACTATTTATTTTGTTTGTTACAAACTAGCATCATTTGACTTATAAATCCATATCACTAGTCTTCTATTTCAGTTACATAACAAAAAAAAAATAAAATCTAGATAAGGGAAAATGTTTATGTATCACACATTTAATAACAACAAAATAGTGACACTATCAATATGTTTGACTACTCTGGTTAAAAATTCATATTCTTTTTGCTGCTGCTGCCCCTCAGCTACCTCAGCACCTTCCTTAGGGGCTGAGGTCACATCGTTTCTGACATGTGGAGGACACGGTCAGGGGGTTAGAGACGTGCTCAGCACTTCATGACATGTTGACCAACATAAATATGGGTGATGAGATTTAAGTCTTCACCAATGGCAAATAAAGATACATTTGAAACATTTTTTTATGAACTGTCTCACTGATTCTGGTCAATATAGTTTCAAGCTGAGGAGGCAATACTAACATTTGGACCAGATTTCCTGGAGCAGAAACACATCTAAAACCACTCCGGTCATCCAGCCCCATATCGGGGGGACATCATAGAAGAAAGTGGGCTTTTAAGAGGAGACAGTAAAAAAAAGCTCTATGTATGAAGAAAAATGTTGCCCTTTACCTTTAAGACACCATCTCCAAAGTAAAACAGGGTTATTGACATCTTGGGATAGTTTTCCTTAGTAGGGTGAGGAAAGCTGTTAAAATTAATGGGGAGATGGCAAAGGATAAATGCTGAGAGATACTGGAGAAGGACGAGTTAGAAGGTGCAAAAATCTTAAGCTGGGATGAAGGTTCAGCTTCCAACAGGAGAATAGATTTAAACACACAACTGAATATAAGATGGTTTAAAATAAAAGCATGCTAATGTATTAGTCAAAGTCTAGACTTAGAGATATAGTGGACGATGTTCTTTGTGCGGGTGGATCATCAAAATAAGCGGTCCTCCCAATTCTCATTCCCCATTTTCACTTACTGGTGGTGAGTCTTAAATTGTGGAAAAATTGCAAATCTGCTTTTGCAAAGTAGGCTTGTATGAGCGACGCAAACAGCAACCTTTAAACAGAGCGTGCACGAGGAGAAATTGGCGCGTGCTCTCGTACATGTTTCATAATCATTCCCTCTCAGGAGCAGGTACAAGGTTGCAGTGGAGTGGGCGGGTCTGTTCAAAACTTCGTGAAAATCCTCCTTTAAACCTTCAAAGTTCAACTTAGAGTCTGTTTTGAAATCTGAAAACTTGTTCAAAGACACTCTCTATTCAGGAGGAACTAAAATCTAATTCAGAAGCCCTGAAGTCTGAGATTTTGATTTGGCGAAAAGTGAACAGTTTCAAGAGAAATGGAAACCTTTGCCAGGGACTACAGAAAGCTAGTTTTGGGTATTATCCATAGTTTGTAATTGTAACATCATGTCTCTTGGTTGGACCTCATTAAACATCCAGATGAGGCCAGCAATCACGTCCCTCCATCATACCAGCTGTGACAGTATCCTGATGAATCCCTCGCTCCAACAAACAAAGAATCTCTGTCTGTTCTGCATGCCTTCCCATGTTTTTCTGTTTCATTTCATTAGAGAGATGCATGGCAGTGATTGCTTTTGTCTTGTCAAGTCAATGATGTACACTGATTTGATGTTTTTGTCTCATGCGGCCTATTAAACCATTAACCTCTGTGTCATCAGAAGTAATCAGAAATGTGTGCCTCCTGCCGCTGTGAGATTCAGATCTGGAAACTCTAGATGGACTACTTGGCTGCTCTAAAGAGCATTTAAGAAACGCTATTTAAAGCAGCCTGTTTACTTGAAGAATGGACATTCCTGTTATAAAGCTTCCTTGTTCTCCTTTGCTTTGAGTAATCATGCAATGAAATCATCCCTCATGTTGCAGAGTTTTGCACCAAATAATTGGTTTTCAAAATAATGTCTGACTCATTTAGGTCCCTTGCAGAGTTGCAGGCCAACTTCAGTACATCCGTCAAATTACATCTCAGAATAAGGACTTATTTTTCTCTGTTGGCCTAAAAACTTTGTGCCTCATTAACATCAAATACGCTACCTTAAATTGAACAGCGCTCCAGTGCTGACCCTCGGCAGAATTCAGAGCTCTTTATGCAGGTTGTAAGA